GGATCTCTGGCATCAACAACAGATCAATTCTGGTTTCTTTTTGTTTTAAGTAAATTTTTGAACCTGAGTCTGTGTTTTAACATTTTACATATTGTGAAGTTTCATCATAGCAAAATATGGCTTGCTTTCAGGTCTTAAGCTTCTCCAGTAGGAAATGGCTTGTCTTGAAAGCATTTCTAGCTAAAAAGGCTTCAGCAAGTTCTGGCAACAGTTTGGAGTCATGAACAACCTTGTTCTTTCTCAAACTGTTCCACTCAATATTCATTTCTGCTTAGTCCTTGCCAAATGGCTGGGCTACTCTAAACGCTGCTGCCTCCCAGAATTCATCTCCAGTCAAATTTGCCTTGTCACCTCTCCTGATTAATCTCGGTTCTCTACACCTGAGAAGGGGACAGATCCAGAGGCTGGTAATACACTTAGGCAGTATTTTCCCTTTAGACTGCCAGCCTGAGGCAGGCCCAGGTGGGTGGTGATTCAAGTTGAAACTCACTTTGGCTCAGTCCAAACTTTTGGCTTTGATTTGTAGGAAAACGTTTTTGTAAAGTATGCCAGGGACATGTATTTTTGTTTTTTATATAACAATATGTGGGGAATTGTCATATAGGAGTAAGATTGCTTTGTGGTCCCTTGGCTGGGATGTTTCAAATGCTGTATTACAAGGGAAATCATGTAAAGTTTAGGAACATTACATCCAAGGTTTTGCTAATACATACTGTTCTTAAGAAGAATGGGATTTAAGCACTCCTTTTAAAGAATTTTGAAGCCATCCTAGGGTTTCACAAGAAGTAAATCCACTTGCTGCTGTTACTGTTGTTTTCTCTCAAGTCATGAAAGGACTGGAAAATGATGAATCACAAACCAAGAAGAATCTTCTCATTGTTGTCTTCATCATCTGCCATGAGACTATGTGACTATATAGTATCCTTAAAAATTATTGGATGGGTGCAGTGGCTCATGCCTGTAATCCTAGCACTTTGGGAGGCAGAGGCAGGCAGGTGGATTGCCTGAGCTCAGGAGTTCGAGACCAGCCTGGGCAGCACTGTGAAACCCCATCTCTAATAAAATACCAAAAAAATAAAAAAGATAGCCAAGCATGGTGGCATGTGCCTTTAATTCCAGCTACTCAGGAGGCTGAGACAGGAGAATAGCTTGAACCTGGGAGACAGAAGCGGCAGTGAGCTGAGATTGTACCCTTGCACTCCAGTCTGGGTGACAGAGTGAGACTCCACCTGAAAAAAAAATCTACCAAAGGAGATCCCATGAATTGCAAGGTTGATTTATATTTTATTTATTTATTTTTTTTTTTGAGACAGGGTCTTGTTCTGTCACCCAGGCTGGAGTGCAATGGCATGATCATAGCTCACTGCATGCAGCCTTGACCTCCTGGGGTCAATCAATCCTTTCACCTCAGCCTTCTGAGAAGCTGGGATCACAGGTGCATGCCACTATGCCCAACTATTTGTATTTTTTGTAGAGACAAGGTTTTGCCATGTTGCCGAGGCTGGTCTGGTCTCAAACTCTTGGGCTCAAATAGTCCTCCCGCCTCGGCCTCCCAAAGTGCTGGCATTACAGGTATGAGCCACTACAGCTGGCTGATTTTTAGGTAAATTTTTACATGGAAAAATATGGGCCCAAACTGATGTAAGGATCACTTTATTTCTCCTTTCAACTCTTATGACCAGTTTTTATCTATGGAATGAAGTGGACAGTTGTAAAAAAATTATTAAGCAAACCATCACAAAATTTTTTAAAACAGGAGTTATTAAAATGATTGCTTCAATTCTCTACATATTAATATAAAGCAGACATATCATTTATAGTCCAATGACCTATAGTCCAGTTCTGTTTCTCTAGTTAATTTTTTTATGATTAATATTTTAAAGTCTATCTAAGACTTATAGGTCCTGAGAGTGTGTATGATAAGAATCTGCTTGAATTAAACTAAAATTTATTATAAAGCATGTATACAAGTTAAAATTTATTGTTAATAAGTTAAAATAATACTTTAGGTAGAATTATTTGGTGGGTATATGAATGTTCCCTGTAAAATTCTTCCCACATCCCTGTCTACATGAAAATTTAAATAATAAAAAGTTGTGAGGAAAACCAGGCTAGATGTGCCTGATGGGACCTCTCCAACTTTCCCATTAGACAATCCAAGAAGATATACAAAAGGACAAACACTGGAAACAAAACTGGAAACTAAGGGGGAGAAACATCTGCAAAATTGAAGACAGTTCCCACAATTTCCACTATGCTATCATTGGAAGGGGGCAAAGGACATGTTCTGGGACTATATGTGCTGTGAATTATAAACGAGAGCAGCAAGAATAACAGGGATAAAGAAAGAAAAAGGCTTTGACTCACCTAGCCTGGCTACATAGAACAAGGAGCTCTCTTGACCTACAGCCTCAGAGAGGCATTCAGCCATCTTCTTGCTATATATGGCTCCCTTATAAGCCGGCCAAAGTCAAGCTCCTTCTCCATTGACCCAACCCTGGCCCCTCAGTAACTGCTCTTCTCTGTGTCTATTCCAATTCTAAAACTCCTGATATGGCTGGGTGCAGTGGTCATGCCTGTAATCCCAGTACTTAGGGAGGCTTAGGTGGGCAGATCACTTGAGGTCAGAAGTTCGAGACCAGCCTGGCCACATGTGAAACCCCATCTCTAATAAAAATACAAAAATAGGCTGTATGTCATGGCACATGCCTATAATCTCAGCTACTTGGTAGGCTGAGGCAGGAGAATTGCTTGAACCCAGGAGGCAGAGGTTGCAGTGAGCTGAGATCACATTACTGCACTTTAGCCTGGGCGATGGAGTGAGACTCTGTCTCAAAAAAAGAAAAGAAATTTCTTAATCATTATTGCTTCCAATTTTTCCCATGTTCCACTCTCTTGCTTTTCCTTCTGAAACTCTAATGACATGTACAATGTTAGGCCACTATTGTTATTGTCCCACAAGAACACAGACTGTTTTTCTTTAACCTTCTTTCCCCCCTCACCTCTGTTTAGGTTAATTTGGATAATTTCAATTGACTTGTCTATAGGTTCACCAACTTCTTTTACTTCTGTTATGTCCAGTCTGCTAAGTCCACTGAATGATTCTCATGGCTGTTATTGTACTTATTATTTCTACATTTCAATTTTTTGAAGTCATTTCCAACTCCCTGTGGATATTGCCCACCTGTTTTATTCTGAGTGTCCATTTTTACCAACTAGATCCTTTGACTTATTTATTATAGTTATTTATTTATTTATTTATTTTTATAGAGATGGGGTTTCACCACCTTGGCCAGGCTGGTCTTGAACTCCTGACCTTGTGATCTACCCACCTTGGCCTCCCAAAGTGCTGGGATTACAGGTGTGAGCCACTGTGCCTGGCCTATTAAAGTAATTTTAAAGTCCTTGTCTGATAATTTCAGTATCTGAACCATCTCTGGGTTTGCTTTTATAGACTATTTCTTTGTTTGACCATAGGCCACATTTCATTACTTTTTACATTGAAATTAAGAATTTCTAAACACATCATAAAATAAGTGAAAATATGGGGAAAGTATTGGAGAAGACATCTTCGACTGTATAACTGACAGAGGAATGGTATTCAGAACATTTAGAGAACATCTATTACGGAAAAAACAGAGAGAAGGGGGCAAAAGACTGAACAGGCACTTCACAAAAGGAGAAATCTAAATGATCACTAGGCACGAAAGGGGCTCATTAGTGATCTCATTAGTGATCAGAGAAATGCAAATTAAAATCACAGTGAGATAGTCTTACAATATCATCATACAGGTGACTTTTGAATTTCACTGTTTATTGGCTTGGAATACCTTTTAAATATCTAGACATTTGGTATGTGGAGCTTACTTGTTGAAAATGGTAGTAGAGACTGACTATCCAAGATATTTTGGTAAATAATTTCTTATTGACAGAAAAGTTGCATGGTACCTTTCTTTAAACCATTTGATTGAAAAAATGTGAGACCTCACCATACCAAGAGTTGGCCAGAATGTGGCACTGCAAGAACCCACATGTACAGTGGATAACAGTTTAAATTGGTACCACTGCTTTGGGAGATGGTTTAATACTATATGGGTAATGTTTAAGGTATGCCTACCCTATGGCTCAGAAACTTTACTTCAAGGTATACCCTAGATACATGTACAAGCATGTTCACAGTAGTGTTGATAAAATTGCCCCAAACTGCAAACAATGCACATGGTTATTATCAGGAGAAACGACAAACTGTGGTATTTTTATAAAGTAGAATATAATACAGCAATGAATTTGGATGCATTAAAGTTGCACAAAATATGGATGCATCTTATTAAAATTTTTAGAAAACAAAGTACATATGGTAAAACTATATATTAAAAAAAGCAGGAAATGATTCGTGTAAGTTGCGATAGCAACTTGACCTTAAATGGGTAGATGGGTTGGGAGTAGGAAGGACTGCACTGGTCAGTTGCTGCAGTGCTAGAAAATGTCCATTATGTGACCTACATGATGGTTGCACCAGTTTATGTTTCTTCAACTAATTGTTAAACTATGCATGTACATTTTATATGTGAATAATATTTCACAATAAAAAATGTAGGTTTGTATGTGATCGAGAGAGACTGATTTTTGGTTTGGCATGTGTGGTCCTGGTAAACATGCTCACTGATGCAGGAATTACAAGTAACAATAAAGTTTTTACTGCTTAAAGAAAAGGGATTGAAGATGAGAAACTCAACATTCAGTTACAAGAAGAGAAGTCAGGATGGTATAGTTCAAAGTAGATATGGATTGACATACAAAAGGGCTAGTGAGCTAAAGAACTACCTGTCTTTTCCGGTGACATCCTCGCCTTTCTTTATCTGTGCTGAATTTTCCTACATTCATAATGACTTCAAAATAATTTTAAAGTTTTCTCCTAAAGATAGAAGATACCAGAACAGAATATTTCTGTTTTCCCAGCTGAAGCCTCCCTTGTTATGGAGAAGTGAATGAATCACATCTGCTCACTCAGAGTTTTACTATGCCTTTGAAGTTACGAATTTTCAAAGTACAGTAGCAAAAAGGAATAACAGTATAATTTTGGGTTTTGTTTACAGAAGTTACAAGATATATATTCTGAATTCAGGGCCCATCCTCTGCTATATGAATACTTCATTCTTGGTTTTGTCCTTCACAGTTCTAGAGACAAGCTACAATTTTGTAGCTATATATGTATGTTTCTGTGCGATCGAGAGACTGATTTTTAAAAAGATGTCTAAGTTTTAGTAATACTAAGAGTTGGTTGTCAAATTTTTAACTCCTCTAAGAATAAAAAATAAAAATAAAATTACCTCCCTACATACACACACTAAAATCCTCATTAAAGCTTCCTATAACTGGAACAAGGATGGCTCTACCTTCTCAGAAAGGGAAAAAAGATCCTTATGTTCTGTATGAACACAATTACAGTGAGAATTCAAATAAGAGGAAGTTGAGGGAACTGAAAGATCCTTTCAAGGAAGAATGAATAGCTAAGAGAGTTAACGGAGGAAATAAGAACATTCATTCAGGTCATGACATTGCTAATTTGGAACAGGCTGACTTCAAATGTTTAAAATAATAATCCTGAAGAAAAGCACATTAAATCACAGTGATGTGATTTAAATTAGAGTAATAGGTGAAATTAGGCAACAACAAATAATGGCTAATTTTGAAAAATCTGTCCAGGATGACTAATTACATTATAAAAATGAGTTTTTAGGAAATGAATGATTTCCCATAGGCATTTCTGCAGGGCAGATACTTTTTGATTTGGAGAATACCAGCAGGCTAAGTCAAGGATTCCTGCACCTTTTCTAGAGTCTGCAGGTCAGGTTATAACAGGTCAGTATCTCCAGTTTTCTTTTGCATTCCTGCAACAGAGAAAAGGGAAGCAAATGCAGAGAACTGGAAGGAAAGGACCACAAACTATATTTTCGTGTACTCTAAGTGTAAAGAACTCTTAGGAGTTGGAAGGTGTATTAGTCAGTGTTCTCTAGAGGGAGAGAGCTAATAGGATATATGTATGAAAGGGAGTTTATTCAGGAGATTTGACTCATATGATCGCACGGTAGAGTCCTACCATAGGCCATCTGCAAGTTGAAGAGCAAGGAGGCCAGTGGTGGATCAGTCTGAGTCCCAAAACCTCAAAAGTAGGGACACTAACAGTGCAGCCTTCAGTCTGTGGCCAAAGGCCCAAAAGTCCCCGGTAAACAACTGGTGTAGGTCCAAGAGTCCAAAAGCTGAAGAACTTGGAGTTGGTGTTTGAGGGCAGGAAGTATTCAGCACGGGAGAAAGATGAAGTCTGTAAGACTTATGAAGTCTGCTCTTCCGTCTTCTCCTGCCTGCTTTATTCTAACCATGCTGGCAGCTGATTGGATGGTGCCCACCAAGACTGAGGGTGGGTCTGCCTCTCCCAGTCCACTGACTCAAATGTTAATTTCCTTTGGCAACACCCTCAAAGATACACTGAGGAACAATACTTTGTATCTTTCAATACAATCAAGTTGACACTCGGTATTTACCATCACAGAAGGCTTGGATCCCAGATCCTTTTTTCTTTTTTTTTTGAGACAGGGTCTTGTTCTATTGCCCAAGCTGGAGAGCAGTGGTATAATCATATAGCTCGTGGCAGCCTCAAACTCCAGGGTTCAAGCGGGATTTCTATCTCAGCCTCTTGAGTGGCTGGAACCAGGCTCACCTAATTAAATTTTTTTTTTTTTTTTTGTAAAGACAGGATCTTCCTACGTTGCTCAGGCTGGCCTTGAACTCCTGGGCTCAAGTGACCCTCCCACTACAGCCTCCCAAAAAGTTGGGATTACAGGTATGAACCACCTAGATACTTATTAGTTGTAGGATTTAAAGTAAGACATTTAACCTTTATAGGGTTTTTTTTCTTTTAATCTGTAAACTAGGGATAAAGATATTTATTTTATTTACATCGTTGGGTTGTTGGAAAGATCAAATAAGTTATGTGTTGGGCTGAGTGCGTTGGCTCAAGCCTGTAATCCCAGCAATTTGGGAGGCCAAGGCAGGCGGATCACCTGAGGTCAAGAGTTTGAGACCAGCCTGGTCAACATGGTGAAACCTTGTCTCTATGAAAAATACAAAAATCAGCTGTGTGTGGTGGTGCATCCCTGTAGTCCCAGCTACTAGGGAGGCTGAGGCAGGAGAATTGCTTGAACCCAGGAAGCAGAGGTTGCCCTGAGCCTAGATCATGCCACTACACTTATGCCTGGGCCACGGAGTGAGACTTTTTCTCCAAAAAAAATAAATACACACACACACACACACACACACACACACACACACACACACACACACACAACCACACACACAAACAAAAAAAAATTCTAAAAGTAATGTGTTGTGAAAATACAAAATAAATTATAGAATAATTATCACCGCATTCTAGAGCAACTCTGCTGCTTGTTACACACAGCTTTCCCAGCATCCTTTGCCCTTGACCCAGCTCTGACTTTGTTGTAGGACCTCTGGTTCTATCATGGAGCCAGGGATAAGACCGCAGCAGGAGTAGCATGGACGGTGGGAGATGAAGAAGCTGAACAGCACAATACCAATAGCTTCGTTGCCCCAGGTTACTAGCTCCACTTTCTGTTAGATTCATAGCCGGGAAGAATATTTACTTAGCAATAACAGAAATGATTCCGAACAATCTTCTCGCTAGCTTTGAATCATCTCATTCTGATTTCTAAAATTAAGATTCAGGATTGCTGTGAAGGCAGGTTCTTATTCTGAAGCAATTACCTTCTCTACCGGAAAAAGCTCCATTCACATTGTTGAATCATAAAATGAGCTCAGTACTGTGGAATTTGATTTACTGCTTAAGACAGGCAGGACTGTACAGGTTTTAAACGTGGTAACACTGTACAAAATATAATGCACCTTTTAATGGGGTGTGGAGGAGAGTTCTAGTGAGAGAGTTCTCTCGACTTTCCTGGGGCAGTACACAAGCTTTGCATTGATAGTACTAGCTCATGGTTGGTATTCCTGAACATCTAAGAACAGGGTCACCTTAGAAGTGAATTTTCTCATTCTTTTTGAGGGTTCACAGGCTAAGGAGGGGACCTTTAAGGTTAAGAGATGTTGATGTGTGTGTAGGCACTCAACAATATTGATATCAAGACTAACCGGATTATCTTGCCTTGCCACCAAAACTGTTTCTCAACAGTGGGGCCATTCACATTTTGAACTGGATAATTCTTTGTTGTGGGAGCCTGTCCTGTGTATTGTAGGATATTTAACAGCGTCTCTGTCCTGTCCTTATTAGAGGACAGTAGAATTCCCCAAGCTATGATTATTGAAATGTCCCCAGACATTGCCAAATGACCCTTGGGAGGCCGAATTGCTCCCAGTTAAAAATCATTGCACTAAAACCATTAATTTAACTTATGGTACAAAAATACTTTCTACTTCTTGAAATTAATTGTTAGGAAGGAATCTGCTTTGCAAATCATCAGTCAACAAATTTTATTTATCACTAATTTTTTAAAACAATTATTTGTATGCCACTTTGTAATTTACAAAAGGTTTCTATATACCTTAATATGGATGAGAAAAAAGAAAAAGTTAATATTTGTTGAGTATTTACTATATGCTGTCTGATAAAGGACTGGCTTCAAATACATCCTTTCATTTAGGTCTCACAGAATCTCTGTGTGAAAGTTAATTTCCCAAATTTTACACAAGAGAAAACAAACTTAGAAATGTTAAGTAGCCAAGCACAGTGGCTCATGCCTGTCATCCCGACATATTGGGTGGCCGAGGTGGGCTGATCACTTGAGGTCAGGAGTTGAAGACCAGCCTGGCCTACATGGTGAAATCCTGTCTCTACTAAAAATATATTTTAAAAATTAGCCGGATGCGGTGATGGGCACCTGTAATCACAGCTACTCGGAAGGCTGAGGCAAGAGAATCACTTCAGCCTGGGAGGTGGAGGTTGCAATAAGCTAAAATAGAGCCACTGCACTCCAACCTGGGCAACAGAGTGAGACTCTGTCTCAAAAAAAAAAAGAAAAAAAGTTTAATAGCTTTCCCGAGAATACAGCCTATCATCTGACTTCAAGTTTTACTACTCTTTAACCCACATCACAGCTGGGACAAGTAGCAATTATGATCTATGTGTCAGAATTAGCCATATCAGAAGAGCCATGGTCATTTTTTACAGGGGTGTCATATTTTTCCATTTTACAGTTTAAGTGTCTGGCCCCAAATCAGCAAGGCATGTATCATCATTAAAAGAAAACTGAAGCTAAAATAACGAATCAACTTAGTGTCTTTGGCTCACTAAGCTACAGTATCCTTCCACCTCTGTCTGGTTTGCACCTAGGCATACTGTAAAGCAGGTGGAGGCCAGGTGCAGTGGCTCATGCCTATAATCCCAGCAATTTGGGAGGCCAGGGTAGGTGGATCACCTGTGGTCAGAAGTCCAAGACCAGCCTGGGCAATATTGTGAAGCCCTGTCTCTACTAAAAATTCAAAAATTAGTTGGGCGTAGTGGTGCCTGCCTGTAATCCCAGCTACTCAGGAGGCTGAGGCAGAAGTGTCGCTTGAACCCAGGAGACAGAGGCTGCAGTGAGCCGAGATCACACCACTGCATTCCGGCCTGGGTGACAGAGTGAGACCCTGTCTCAAAATAAATCAATAAAATAAATAAATAAATAAATAAAACAGGTGGGTAGCAGGGTAGCTAAGATAGCAGATGTTACCAAGGGTCTGAATCAATGAATGGAGTTTTCATTGTAGCCACATAAACAAATTTGAAATTACATATTAGATTCCTCTTTTCTTAAAAGTCCTCTAGCCATCACATCTTCAGAATGCGTTCCCAATCTGTATGGGCATCTTTTCCCAAGCTGCAATTTGCCATCACACAGCCCAAGCAATCCTCTCTCTCAGTATCCCCTCTTATTCCCTGATTATCCAGGTCCCTTCACTTTTAGCTCTCTCCTAAATTAGAATCTATTTAGTTATAGGGTAGAACAATGGGTTGTCTGCTTCTTCCTCATGTTGAGGTCTGTCCACCTTCTGCATGTTTGAAAACACATTCATCACTTTGCTAGACCACCTGTTTACCCCTGGGTAGTACTGAAGAATTGGCAAACACTTTGCAATTTCCTTCTTTCTTCTGTAATCCTTTCCTTGTGTAACTTGTCCCAAGCTCTGTAAGTGGAAGAATTCAATATGGACATTTATTTTCCCATTGATAAGAATCATCTAGCCATCCTCCATATACATGCTGAAAGGAAGCAGTGGTTACTCAGTTTTAATGTTTGTCATACTCTGTATTGAAGTGTAAAATACATATTGAAAAGTACACAATTCATAAGTTTACATACCTATTTTTATAAACTGAACATACCTGTGTCACCAGCATCCAGAACAAGGAATTCTCTACCCATTGGATCTCATCTTTGGCAGCATATTAGAGTTATCTAAATATTTTTTTTAAAGTTCATGCTTTAAAAAAGGCATGGTACTTTCTTGAGGGATGGCATCCAACATCAACAGCTTTAAGTTCTAGGTGTCCCTAAAGTGTGACTCAGGTTGAAAAACAGTGCAACTTCTCACCCTCTCCTTGAAGCTCCCTTCCATCTCACTTTTAGACATGTCAGCAACTCTGAGAGAACTACATTCTCAAGGTGATCAAATTTATTTCAAGCTTGATTCTCTACCTCTTAAACATTTGATAGGGCACCATTTTTTTTTTCACATTAAAAGACTATCCTTTAGTTGTTAGAAACTGGCAGAACACTTCTATTATATCCCAATTTACTTCTGTTGAGCACTGGGCAAGAATGATCGGATCACCTTGGATGGAGATCTGATCATTAGCACCCACTCCTAGGGTAAGCCCAGTCTTCTCTAGCACTAAATTGTGCCTTCTTCGGGTCACCTTTGCTAGAAGAAAAAATAAACTTTCTGATAAACTTCTTACCTTTAAGCCCCGGCTTTGAATCCAGGTTCTCAAGTCAGCCCTTCATAGCACAACCCCTAGGGGAATCATTGTCATTGATTTAACTATCTTTGATGAGATTGGCTAAATCAATGATAATGATAATAACCATGATCTATTGAAGAGGTGCTAGTTTCTAGAAATTATATATTAATTGTGTTAAATAATGCAATCAACCCTTAAATGTAGGTATAATTCATTCCATTTTACCAATAAAGAAATTGAGGCTCAAAAACTTGAATGACTTGCCTCATCATTCAGACAGTAAATGACTGCATGAAGATTTGAAACTGTCTGATTAGGTGCTGCTACTTTTAATAAGCAAAGCTGATCCTTCATGTCTCCTCTCTAAGGTAAAGCCATTAACTCTTCTTAAATGCTTGGTGCTCTTATCCCAACCCTGGATTCCCCAAGTGTCCTCCTCCTTCAAAGTCTCATATGAAAGTAGTTATCTATTGTTCTCCATCCAGAGCCCTGTCTTCTTTTTGGAGATAGCTGCCTATCTCCTAATTAGCAACAGTTCTATGCTCTGTGCAAAATATGATAAGTTCATCTTTGGTTCTTCCTGGATAATACCTTCACTTTGTGAGAGTTTTACAAATACAATGCCTTAGCTAGGATTGACTGTAATGTCAGGGATTTTAGGCTTCTTGAAGGGACAGTAACATTGGGAGCTTTTAGAGATTTTCTGAATGGACCAATAAGGACTCTTTGGTTGGCAAGTAAGGGGAACCCATATTTAATCTGGCTTAAAGGAAAAGAGAGTATACTGGCAAAATATTGGAAAGGTAGGGGAGGAAGAAAACCTTAATTTTCTTTACCTTCCTACATTCTCTAACTGGGGACCTGTGAATTAGACTGATAAAATACAGATTAACAAGAAGAAAACATAGTTTATTAACATGTGCAGCATGCATACATGCAAGAGAAACCCAGTGATAAGTAACCCAAAGGGGTGGTTAGAATCTGGGCTTATATAACATCTTAACAAAGGACAATAAGTTTATGGAGAAAAGAAAAGAAGAGGCTTTAGGCTTTCAAGGTCTGAAAATTATGGGAAGGTAAATATATGGGGGAAGCAAATGGAACAGGATTTGTTTGTGAAGGTTCATCTTGACACCCATTTTTCATCTTCTTCATGGCCATAAACTTCTCCAGGAAAGAGGACTTACGGCAATCTTCATTTCTGGAAAGCTTCTGGTTTTAGCTATGGGAAGGATTCTTTCTGCAGCTGTTAGATCTCAAAATGTTTTTGGCTCAAAATAATCCATATGCCAAAGTGGTATATTTTGGGGTTGCATATTTTGATCACCTACACAAACACCAGAGAGTGAAAGAACTGATGAACACACAGCTTTGTGGAATATAGAATACAGCACTTTGTTATTTTTAGTTTTATTTTTAAATTTTTTATGTCCATTGGTAATTGGGGATCAGGTGGTGTTTGGTTACATAAGTTCTTTAGTGGTGATTTGTGAGATTTTGGTGTGCCCCTCACCCGGGCAGTGTAAATTGCACACTATTTGTAGTCTTTTATTCCTCACCCCCTTCCCACTCTTCCTCCCTGAGTCCTCGAAGTCATTCTTATGCCTTTGCATCTTCATAGCTTATGAGTGAGAACATACGATGTTTGATTATCATACGAATTACTTCACTTAGAATAATAGTTTCCAATCTCATCCAGGTTGCTGCAAATGCCATTAATTCCTTCCTTTTTATGGCTGAGTAGTATTTCATCACATATATACACCACAGTTTCTTTATCCACTCGTTGATTGATAGGCACTTGGGTTGGTTCCACGTTTTTACAATTGCAAATTGTCCTGCTATAAACATGAGCATGCAAGTATCTTTTTCGTATGATGATTTCTTTTCCTCTGGGTGGATACCCAGTAGTGGCATTGCTGGATCAGATGGTAGTTCTACTTTTAGTTCTTTAAGGAATCTCCATACTGTTTTCCATAGTGGTCGTACTAGTTTACATTCCCACCAGCAGTGTAGAAATGTTCCCTGTTCACTGCATTCATGCATTCTTTGATTATGGCCATAGAATACAGCACTTTAAATGAACCACAGCACATATCTCAACATAGTTAAACACCCAAAACATAGTTAAACCCCCTGGATGAAAAAGGCAAGCTGTAGAAGTAATTATATATTTGGATAAAATAATAAAGTTTAAAATTCTGTAAGTTTGAGGATGCATAAATAGGCAGATAAAAATATAACATCATGTATGGGCATGACAAGTACTGAATTTATGACAATAATTATTGTATTAGTCCATTTCACACTGCTGATAAAGACATACCTGAGACTGAGAAGAAATTAAGGTTTAATTGTACTTACAGTTCCACATGGCTGGGAGTCCTCAGAATCACGGTGGGAGGTGAAAGGCACTTCTTACATCACAGCAGCAAGAGAAAATGAGGGAGAAGCAAAAGCAGAAACCCCTGATAAACCCATCAGATCTCATGAGACTTATTCACTATCATGAGAATAACATGGGAAAGACTTGCCCACATGATTCAATTACCTCTCCCTGAGTCCCTCCATAACACGTGGGAATCCTGGGGAATACAATTCAAGTTGAGATTTGAATGGGGACAAAACCAAACCATACCAATTTTGTGTGGGTGAGAGGAAAATAATAGATTGGATCAGGGAGGAGCACACAGGGAGGTCTTGATCCTGTCTTTAAAGTTTAGTGCTTCACATTAATAACACATAATATTTGATGCTTAATACATTTGATA